AAGAAGTCATCACTGAGTTACTCGGACCATTCCCGAAACATTCCTGGGGATTTTTCGACCCGTCTAGTTTCGAACCCGGGTACCCCAGAGCGATAGGCTACCGCCTTACCCGCTCAGCCATCCGGCCTCTTAAAATGTGGGTACTCTGGTATGTAGGTACTGGAATGTGAGCTTGAAATTCCGGTACCCACATACTGGGTACAAATTTTTCATCTCCAGGATCAGAAGACCCGCGACGACTCGGATTGGTGGCGTCGGAAACCCGTGGCATCTTTGACAACCCGCTAACTAGATGCAAAGACAGAAAACTGGCATAGCTACATTAAAACTGGAGGAACCGAAGGGGACAGAACCAGATTATTTCTCATGCACCGTGTGATTTTCTGCATTCTGTAAATAAATTCCCAAATACTTTATTACTAAGTTCATGCAGAATAATGCTTCAGGAAATTTCGAGTTTTTAGCTTGTTTATGTTAAATTTATTGTTATAACTCCAGATATCGGAACTTGGAATGTTAGTTTCTCGCAATGGTTTTCTTCCAATCGCTCGAGGATGGCCGCAGAAGAGTTGTAACTATAAATTGAAAATTGAGAGGGGACCTACATGATGAGTTAAAGCTACTCTAATTTAAAGAGTAGCTTTAAATTGTAAGATCGCGATCATTTTCTCAAAAATATTTGATGGCCTATTCCTCGGGTGAAATTTTTGTTTCCGGAGCTTATTAAAAGAACTCCGAAGTCTCGGACAGAGACGAGACAAATGTGCACTCCGTTCACAATACAAAACTTAAATATACAAGTGTACCTTTTGTAAATTAATTTTAAATCTTAGCACTATTGCTCATGGAACCTTAATACAGTGAAACCGGTCAATTTGGACATCCTACAACCCGAACACTAACATCTTGAATACTTTCACACGGAAGTGGAGAAATCACTATACAGTCGACCCCCTACAACGTGATAGATACGTTCCACTTTATAAGAATTTTGCGTTGTAGGATTCCTTAAATACGTGAGCCAATCACAGCCCGTCACGTGTGCAGTTTACGGACTACGGCTGTTTGAAAGGTTTTCTTCCATAAAATTAATCGATTCTAGACTAATTTCACTCAACATTTCCAAATTACTTATAATTTTTTGGGAATAATCCGTATAAACTATGCTATAAACGAAAAATTGTAGGATTACTTACAGAGTGTGCACCGTTCAACGACGCCATTACTTAAGCTTGTTTTCGTCGCGGAGCAGCGCAACAAACGGCGGCCGCGTTTTCTGATAAGTTATTTTTCTGTGAAAAATTCGTTGAACTTTGGAGACATCATTAATATAAATAATTTTTATGGCCGTTGAATAAGAAATGTTTTTTTCACAAGAAATGTATAAAATTACAGTACTGTATTAGACTTACAGTACCTAATTTAGGCCTATATACTGTACAGACGCTAGTAAACTCAACTTACCCGCCTAAAATCTCCGTAGCGAAAATTTTAGATAACGTAAAAATTATAAAATTACAGTACTGTATTAGACTTACAAATATAATTTATATATACAAACCTATATTTATATATATAAACCTAATTTATATATAATACTGTACAGATGATAGTAAACTCAACTTGCCCGCCTAAAATCTCCATAGCGTGGCACTGAACGGCGGAAAGTAGTTCGGCTGCTCGTCCACTATTGCAATGACGTTTTACCACATTTTACGAGTCTCTTTTAGTGTCCTTATACGAATATGGTCTCAATTTTTTCGCTGCGATATACAAATCCAATTTATTTGAACCCACGTTATAGGGGGTCTACTGTACAGTACTTCTACATGTATCTGATAATTTTGTATCCTGGACACCTCTCTACCCTGTATTTTGGACAACTTTTTTGTGATTTAAGTTAAAAATAGAGAAATTTCTGAAAATGTTTAACTATCGAGTAATCCAGTTTTAAGGTCTTATGAGTAATTTCCGAACCTACATCAGCCTGTGTTAATTGTATACATATCTTTCTTATCTTTGTCTCCACTCTACAATCACTAACAGGATCATTTTTTCAAGTCTGGGGTGGGTTTGGCTGGACCCGCAATAAGGCGAGGGAAGGGGCCAGACATTTCCAGAATGGACCACACCCTAAATATTCTTGGGTTTGATGGCCTGTCTGGAATCCATCTTGGGTCCTTTGGAGTGGTAAGCCAATGGTGGCGTCTGATCTTCGTGTGACTGTTGCCAACTGATGTTCGGATAAAATCACCAAACACTGGACCAACTGGGCAGGAGCTCACTCCTAACAAATGGGTGTGTGGAGTTTTCTGGTTTGTCTTCACTCGTCTATAAAATAGCCCATATGCAACACGCGTTTGATCTGCCTCTCAGGAGGCAGATCGAACATGTGTTGCATTGCCACATCCTATTAAAGTAACTATGCGACTATTAGTACCACTCAAAGTACAGTATAATGATTTAAAAGTGTGTTAAAGCTGAAGATGAAGTAAGATTAAATGAATGTGATAGTGATTGTGTTCATGTTTAAAATGCTAATCCCTCTCTTAAATATGCAGCTGTGTGTGTTGTTAGTTTTTCATTGTAAGAGCTTATTTATATCAGACTCTCTCTCTTACAGTATTAAAATTCCATGTGGATAACAGTATCTTGAAGCAAATCAATTTTTAGCAAATTGTAATGATTTATCATTTGATGCAGTGCCTTTTAATAAATTCTGATTAAATTCCTGTTAACAAGTGGTGTAATTCTGGCAACTTTTCTTTGCAGTGTCAACTGCCTGTCAGTGCAACTTTTCAATGTTTTTTTTAAAACTGGTGTAAGGGTATCATTTACAAGCATGTCATTCCCTTAACATAATGTATTTGTAAGTGACAAGCATACATTAAATCGACTGATTGCAGAAACATAAAATAATAATAGAAAACCGTGCTTACATGTTTACTAAAGGTTCTGACGCAAGTCTATACAAATAAACTCAAAAATATTTTTTTTAAATTCATTGCTAGGCTTTCCTGCAAAGAAAAGAAAAACAGCAAAGATGAATAAAAACAATTTTTTTTATTAACATAATAATTGGAAATTGGTCAGCATAGATTCAACAAACTTTCTGCCTTGTTACAATATGCTAAGGCATATGGAAAATACATTTAACAAAAAACTATATAAAAATCTAACAAAAATTGGTCTGAATGTATAAAAGTCCTTAAAAAAAAGAAAAGAAATGCATATATATTTAAGAAGTATCAAAGTGTCATTATGTCAAGATATAGAAAATTATAAAAAGGAAAATACTGTGTCGAACTTTTAATGCTGACCAATAACTGTAGATAATGACTAAAGATTTTACATTTAGTACAAACAAAATGATACAAACTGACGTACAAAAAGTGTAAGAAAATAGCAAGAAATTAGTATAGGATATTTTAGGTTATATTTCACGCTAAAGCATCTCTCAAAATACTTTCATTTTGGAGCTTCGATAAGATTCATTTGCATGCAACTTCTTATTATTGGTCCTGTCGACTCGAACTGAATAAACTGCGGTAAAATATATATTTTTTTAATTAATTAATTATTTCTGACGGACAGACTCGAGAAATTTTAGTGACTGTTGACGTCGACATCAGCAGGAATGGAAGTGGTGTATGTCGGAGTCTCCAATTCCTCGTGCTTCTTCATTTTTGTGCCCTGCTGGAGCTTGTAGTGATTGATGATATCTTGGTCTGCTGGGCAAGACTGAGTAAAGGCGTCCAGTTGATACATATGGTACATGTACTGCCATAAATTATTCATTTCCAGAGGAATTTCAAAGTCGGCAAAATATTTACCTGAAAAATATTAGTGTGAGAATGAGTGAAATTTAATTAATTGGTGAGCAGTTATTAGAATTTATTTATCTTACTATCTCTAAAATCTCTAAATGCTTAGAATCCTGTTTGCATTGAGCATTTTAATCTAGATTGTGACCAAGATCGGTGACAATGCCTTGGTGCGAACCATTTCAATCTCAACTGAAACAAGGTTCAATTGCGATCAACGCCCAAGAGATTTCTTGAAACTAGATCCAGTCATAACAGAGATCCCACAATCCCACGCTCACAAGAAAATACAAGATGGCTGTGGAACACGTGTAGGGCTATCGACAGAGAAATAAAAAAGATACTGTATTTGGAGAGATGATGACATCTGTCTATTATTAGATATATGGCAAGAAAAAGTACTGTATTTATTTCTAACCACACTTCCATTTTGTTTGTTGGTGTTAGTGACTCACCGCGTTATGTCAGTTTTATTATTGCATGTAATAGCCAGATTCTTCTCAAGCGGACCGAATGTGCGAACAGCACAATGTTCGACTGGCGACAGTCACAATCCAGATTGTAGGTAAATTGAGATAAAAGTGAGTCGTAGATTGTGTGCCAACATAGTATAAGATAGTTTTATATTTTACTCAAAATGCCAGATTTTGTTCATTTAAAAAGTTATTATTAAACCCCAAATTTGTAATGTAAACATTTGTTAATTAACCATAAAATTATCTTATGTTAATTCTTCCTCCGTACATAATGTGAGAATTTAAGAGAACTATTTAGAAACTGGCCATCAAGTTTAAAACACATTATAAAAACAAAGTTAATATTTGATTTTGATGTGAAATATGTTCCAAAGACAACAGAAGGGCATATTTTGAAAATATTTTCTATACATAACTGTAAATAATACTAACGTGTCTTTAAAACTGCAAATTAAATAGACAAACAATGTACTTATTGTATTTACTTAAGGTACTGTACAGTACATCCCATAAGTATAAAGCTGCCCATTTTCTACGTTTTTTTCACACTATTAATGTACTGTTTTTTCTAACATTGTACTAAAAGAAATGTTGATAAAGCATAATTACAAAGGTAGTGTGTCATAACTCTAATATTTTTTGAAAACTTAACATTTTTGAAATTTGCCCCTACCATAAATACAATACCATGTATTTTATAAAACATTTGTCACAATACTATTTTTATACTAAATATATTACATATAGCTTATGAGAGGTAAAAATAGGCAAATGATAAACTATTTTCCTATCATGTTTATGGAATATAGAATGGTTAAAGGAAAATCTTTAATGAATACAGAGAGCGGTAAAATTGTTGCATTTATGAAAGATGGCTATTCTTCGAGGCAAACTGTGAACAAATTAAACAGGTCCCATCTAGCAATTGATAATTTTCTTCAATCAGGCAAAAATTATGCAAAGAAGAAGCCAGTTGGAAGACCTAGCACAGTTACTCCACCTATAGAATGGCTGATTATGTGTGAGGTGATAAAAAATTATATAACTATGAGTTGTGACACATCAAGACAGTATTAATGTATCTAAATCAACCATTAACCAAATTGTGGCATGTAGCCCTCATCTGATATACAAGAACAAAAAACTACATTGCCCTATAACAGTGGCATAAGAAGCGTCTATTCTGAGCTAACTCCAGCTCACAGCTTGGAATGAAATATGGAAGAAATTATTTGAAGTAATGAAGAAAAGTTCATATCTGGATAGATCAAATATTTGGGTATACTATTGTCATGATCTGCACAAAGACAACTGTTTGCTGCATCTTGTTTGATGCTTTGCAGTGTGATGAGTTGGGTCACTTTCACAGCTGGAATGGAAAAACACAATAAATGTGTTTTTCCATTCCAGCTGTGAAAGCAAGCATTGAATGAATACCCCCATCTTACCAAAAAATGTTGAAAGATTATTTGCTACCTTATGCAGAAAGTATTGCAGGAGGTGAGTACTTTTTCAATAAGATAATGCACTTGTGTAGACAGCTAAGAGAATAAGAATGGTTCTTGAGTAATTGGGTACAAATAATTGACTGGCCAGCTTGTTCCCCTAATCTTAACTCCACAGAAAATGTATGGGGACTTTCTAGCTCATGCCATTTACAGAAATGGACAACAGTACAGTTAATTCAGGAGTTGAAAAATGAAAACAAACAAAAACGGGGAAAATACCTCAAACCTACATTTAATATTTAATTTTGTCTATACCTATCTGTATATACAAAAGTATTGTTTGACAGGATAACTGTAATACTAATTTGTAATAAAAGTTTTGTTACTATCATTGTTTAGACCAGTATTTTTCAACCTTCTTGAATATGCGACCCCTTTACAAGTTAAAAAATTCTGGCAACCCTCCCAAGGGCCATATTAAAAGTATATCAGTGATTTTAAAAACCATGTATTTAATTTTCTTTCTGTTGAGACAAATTATTGTTGATTAAAATGAAAATTTCAGAAGAATCGACAATAATTTAACACAAAAAGTATGAAACTTCCTTTAATTATAACATTAGGCACAGGGAACTGTTGACTTTGTTTTAGGAATTTCAGCTTCTACTTTTCTACTTTTTATTTCCTTTTGCAAATCAGCTCAACACTTTTTCCGCTATCATTTTCTGAAGTGGGCCGTAATTTTCGCTGAAATTGTAGTTTTTTTAATGTAGTGTAGGACCTACAAACACTTGTCTTTTTCTTCTACCCACGACCCCCGTGTAAGGCTTCACGGCCCCCAGGGGGGGTCGCGACCCACGAGTTGAAAAACACTGGTTTAGACAATGACTTTATATTTATTGGTCATGTAAATATTAAAATTGCTAAATTTTTTAAAACCCATTTACCCTATGACACTGTCTTATAATATTGTGCTAATATTATACAAATAAAGAGTGGCATTACACTTATTGGATTCACCTTAGATATGTGAAATTGATACACAAAAGCATTTCAAAATTGTAATTGTAACAACACATACTTTTATAGCAGTTATCTTACCTGCTACCCTGATGTGTTGCAGACGCGGCATCAGTTCGCAGTCGAAACAGCACATTGTATCTCCGGTTAGAAAGCGTCCATTCTTGTTGCCAAGATGGCCATCGATGTTCTTTAACTGATTCAAAAGCGCTCGTTTCGACTGTTCATCTCTGCGGGTGAGCATAAGCTTAAATTTCTGAAAATTTTAAAAATGTCATGAAATCAATATGGAACATATCTAAATATATTACATTCTTTAAATTACTTTTTAAAGTTTTAATTGATAAGTTAATGGCATCACAAGAAAAAGAAAATCAATTTGTTTTTGTTTAAAGTTTAAAATTAATTATCTCAATGATTTCTGTATATCTATAAATGTCTTTTCTTTAAATTAATTATTTGAATACATTCCAGTCTGGTTATATTTAGTTATATTTTACAACATATAAATTATGCTTAAAAGAGATTTAACCTGAGTGTCAATTATTAGCAATATTATACAGTTTAATGAAGTGAAATAAAGAAAATAAATTACAAAATGTTAATTAAACAATTTCAGGAATAGTATTAAACAAACAAACAAACACACAAATATACATATATAACTGTTTTAAAAAAAATGAGAACATTTACAGCAGACTCCCTATAATACAGTAGATATGTTCCGTTTTATATGAATTCCATGTTTTATGAGTCACTTAAATACATGAGCCAATAATGATAAATTAATAATGTGTTTGTTTTACACTTACATTTAAAAAAAGTAGAATTGAAAAATAAAAGCAATTCCTTGCTTTTAAAGCTGCCACAATGACAAATGAGAGATTTTGAGTTCATCTAGAAGGGACATGGATTAAAGTATTACATAGAAGAAGTAACCCACTAAAGTACCTATAATATAATAACTGATCAAAATAAATAATGCATGAAAAGAATTTGGAAATTCAAATCTTATTCATCCATCTCACTAAAGTCAGTATAAGATAGATGAACCACCTTATTAAGCAAAAGGTAAACCATGCAAAGTGCATTTGAAATCTTATTAAAACACGAGAGCCACTGGTGACCATAAGGGAAGGCAATCAGAGATTAAAAATTGGTGAAGAAGATATCTTAAAATTGAGTGACAAAATTATAAGTTACAGTGATGCCATAAGATTCTCCTTCCGATAGCTACATTTACTAGTTTAACACAGTGTTAAACTAGTAATAGTTTAATTAGTTAGTAAAGTAAGCTAGTAAACTAATTAGTTTTTCATCAGAAATAACTCTGAAGTTGTTGTAAGAATAAACATATCAATTCACTGCCCATAAATATAAAAAGTATGATAGTTTGGACTTCCTAATAGTTCCTAATAATACTTAAAGATAAATTATCCAAAACAATATAAATATTTAAAGACTCAATGGAGGAGATTAAAATATTGTAAAGTTTCTGGATTGGAGTTGACAACTTTTAAATGAGCACAGGCTATAATTTTAAAATTAACACAAGGATTAACAAGATCAAATAAGGCAATAAAAGGAAGGCTAAGTAAAATGAGTCCTCAAGGAATTCTACACACTGGTGAAAAATTACAGAAAGTTTCCTAGTGTAATTTTGCAAGAATATAATAAAAAATAATTATTTAGTCAAGCTAGAACAACAGAATGAATATTACATTAGAATGATTTTTTTAGAAAGAATGAAGGTATAACCAAATCAAATGCCTTATTGATGTCAATGTGTACAATGTAGATAAGAATTTTGAGAGTAAAAAAAATCTAACTATTCTGTAGAAACAAAATAATGGCAGGTCAAAATTGGATGCCATAACTACGTTGAATGGAATTAGTTCTGGTCACAACTGGACAGTAAATGTAATTTTAGATAAAATGTTTGAAGATTTTGAACATAGCTACAGACAACAATATGGGTCTATATGAGAATTCCTTTTAGGAATTGCAGCAGTAAAAATGGTACATGGTTCCAAAATATAGTCTTTCTGAATTATTACAGTAAATATACAAGACATGCAATATGTAAAATAGAGCAGAAAGAAAACAGGATCATCATATGAATATGGCAGTTTTAAAATAGCTTCACAAATATTAAAGAATGAGAAATGCCTGTAGAGGTATTAGCACTAAAAAAACAAAGGAGTGAAATGAATACATTGTAAAATATTTTTTTTAATTTTTAAATCATTGTAAACTTTAAAAAAACTAACAGACAATATGGTGGCACCTATTAGAAGATTTTGTTGGGGATCCAATGTAAACCAATTTATAATGGAAATAAAATAATCATCATAAGAAGTGTGGTAAAAATAAAATTTTTTTGACAATCACATGATGGTGATGGTGTGTGTCAGAAGTTGCCTTTGGATTTTCACAATTACCATTTTTTTCTTATTAAATTTCTAAGTTTCTTTAGAGAGAGATGTCTCTTCCAAAATATGGTTCCACCAATCTTTCTGTATGGTAAAAAGTTGGAAACTGTATAATAATAATAATAAAACACTGTAAAGCTGATATATCTTCTGGCTTAAAAGGTCAGCTATATCATATTCTGAAAGCAAGCAGTTGGAAACTAGTTTCCAACTGACTTTGGAAAACATGGGCAGGCAAACTGACTGATTATACCTTGAAGTAAAAATAAATGATATAGCAGTTGATCAGAAGCAAAATGCCATATTAAATAGGTCAAAACTAAGAGCCCCTTGGAAAAAAATAGCTATAAAGCTACAAAAACCAAATAACGAGCAAAAAAATTGGGAAGTGCTATTGCTATCACCCACGTTGAATGGACATCTCAGGCTAACTAATCCCACAGCTGTTGAAACAACAGGGAATTACAGTTGTTTCAACAGCTGCAAAGACTTACTGTTTTCTTCAAAGTTTACTGTTTTCTTCGAACTGGTAAACTTACTCTCATCTCCCACTCTCCTTGTGTCACCCCCTTTTTCACACATGTATGCAATCTCCGTTGTTTCAACAGCTGATGGAATTAGTTAGCCCGAGGATGCCCGTTCAACACAGGCAAAAACGATAGCACTTCCCAAATATTTTGCTAATTATTTATAGCTTTGTATCAAGTTTACCCAGTTTTTGAGTGGTTGTATTGAAAAAAACTAGGTCGAGGAAAGAATTATTCCTAGTAGAAAAAGAAACTTATAGATGTTATTAATATTGAAAACTTGTTTATTGTAGTAAAGTTCAGGAAATTTCAATTTGTGATAACATGGATATAGCATAAACCAGTTAACCAGTGATCACATGGTAGCAGCAATTTTCTATGGGTATTATTCACCAAAATGAGTTAAATAGCTATACTTCCATGATAGCCTCATGCTGTGTGTTATCAATCTCACCATATAAAAATTTTTTTCTGCTTATCACAGATCCTCAAAAATCAACTGCATCATCACCACTTGGCCACGTTTTATTGCATAAAATCTCTTTCATTGTCACACAATCGCATGCATAAGATGGTAATTTTCCATTCTGACATAATTTTCAGTGACTGACATCATTAAACATGAGGTCGTGGAGGTTTCGTAATTGCTACAAGAGGTAGTCACAGCATCATAAATGTTTATGTTACACATAATGATATGAACAGTCTGCAAATCATTACAACACTGAACACTTATCTGTACAATCGTTGAAGGTCACAGTGCCCCAGACTATTTAAATGTTCTCTTGGGTTAATTTTATACCCCAAAAATACAGAAAAATCATTTCTCTGGTTCTGAGAAACACTTCAGCCCTAATGTCATTTATTTCCAGGTAAAATTGTTTGCCTTCACTAAAAGCAGTTTGAAGTGTTTCCTATGGGAGCCCAGTCATGGACACTGTTCTGTAAACTAAACAATATATGACAATGAAATTTGGCATATGCAGAGAAGATGCATTACAGGATTTTTCAGAATCATCAAATTCGAGAAGTGACAATTACATGCAGCATAATTAGGTACAAAAATCCATGAAATAAAATCACCACCATATGCATACAATTTACAATCCTGTAAATGCCACAATTCAGTAAATAAAACTCATCACAGAGCAAATTCCTTTATTTCTCAGCTAAATGCCATTATTTGTGAATACATAAGACAAGCATTAAACTAACAAGAACAAATTTATTTCTTTGTTTTTTTTTTATATTTCAATTTTCTCCATTGACACTGTACAGTTTTTCAAAGTTAATGTTTAGATGCAAGAAAAAGTGAAGAGAGGTCTAGGATTGGGAAAGTCTAATTATTTCTTAACAGATAAAACTATTCTAGTATTTCAGAAATTACCTCAGACTACATTTACAAAATATCAAAATATTTTTCTTAGTCTAATATCAAGCTGTACAAACTTCCAGAAATAAAGAAATAATTTATCCAGCTCAATTCTTACAACTGGAAATTATTCACACAAGAATCTCAAAAGATTTATATTTCATATGTATATGTACTCAAAAAGTGTGTCATTAATTATGAAAATGTGAAATAATGTTTTCTTCAACTAAATCTGAAAAATCTTAATGTTACAATATATTACAAACACAAAAATATTTAACATCAATAATAAAATACTTACACTATACAGATTTTCAATCACAGTAGCAGTGTCTTTATCCTGAACAAATAAATTATGCCCTCCAGGCACATTTTTCATAATGTAACGTTCGATTTTTTCATTTTCTAATATGGCCTGGCCCCGGTCGATCAGAATGGGTGGCGGAGTGGAATCAAAATTGGAACGAAAATCTGGTGGCGGCTTTAGCATGTCCACGGTTGTTACCTAAGAAATTATTAAACTTTACAATATACATTAAAACGACTAATCAAAATACAAAAATACAACTAGTGAATGAGAAAGTATAATATACCATTATGTTAACAAGCTTAAAACGACATTCAAAATTACATTTGATGAAAATTTGTTATTAATGACAAAAATTTCAAAATTAAATGAAAAGTTTGAATTGTGTTTATGATTTGAATAATGAGAATACATTTGCATTTTTCAAACATGAATTACTAATTAACTTAAAATTATATTTTAAATGCTCATCTAGTCTCTCTCCCTGTAGTAGACATTTTGTTTTTCCTGCTACAATATTTTCTAATATAATAATTTATCATGGACAATTAAATGGCATAAAAATTTAGTATCAAATAATATTGGGTTGTTCAGAAAGTAATTTCGTTTTTTTCCCATGGAAAAAACACAATATTTTTATAANAGGAGTTTTTTACCGTTGTTTACGGATACCGCCACAATTTTTTTTGCCGTCTTATAGGAATCGTAATTATAGGAACCCGTCTTATAGGGGGATCTACTGTAGTTAAAAAATAGAACAAGTTTTTTTTAATAAAATGCGATAACAGATGGCGTCACATGCACAGTTTAAATGTTGCCGGGAAAGTTAAGCAGCTGGTTGCTGGTTTTTTTAACTGTGGTCGTATACATATAAATTAAAGATAGCCAAAATAGAGAAGAAACGTTCATTTAACACGAGAGTTATTAAGCTTTCAAAGCGGGCGCCCCCCACAAACACTAACATCCATAACATTTCTACATTTCTCGATATTTCGAGGTATTATAAGTCCAAAAATGTATTATAAAAATCTCGAGGGAGATAATTTTAAATAAAAGCATCAGTCATAACATCCGGTTTGATTTAAATTCGAATAGCAATTACAGTATTAACACATTTTTACTTAAAACTTTGCAGATCTGGCAACACTGAAAATTCGGAGAGAGCGGCAACACGACGAAGTTTCTCAGACGTAAAGAAGAACCGAATATTCTTTGAGAGAAATACCGAATTACACGATTGCGCGATGGATAAATCATCACTTGTAACCAAGGTTCTAGGTCTCGAGGCAAGGCCTGGGCAAACTTGCCAGGTGAAAAATATGACAAATTGTTCAGAATAGGGCACATATATAAAATTAAAATTAAAACCTTGCATATAATAACTTATAGTATGGAAATGAGGACCAGTCCACTTTTTGGATACTATAAGGGACCCCTAGACCTAGATCAACCCGAATTGATGACAAAAAAGGCTTAATAGTAGCACCTACTGGACATAACATTCTGCATCCACATTTCAGTTTGAGCCTACTACAGTGGTTGACTTTTTTAATTCTTTCCGCCCTGTGGGCACTAAGTGGGCATCTCTTTAGCAGGCTTACAATGGGGCGATCGGATGGTGAGGAACGGGGCCCAACATATCCGAACAGACCACCCCCCCGAAACATTCCTGGGGATTTTTCGACCCATCTAGTTTCGAACCCGGGTACCCCAGAGCGATAGGCTACCGCCTTACCCGCTCGGCCATCCGGCCTCTTAAAATGTGGGTACTCTGGTATGTAGGTACTGGAATGTCAGCTTGAAATTCCGGTACCCACATACTGGGTACAAATTTTTCATCTCCAGGATCAGAAGACCCGCGACGACTCGGATTGGTGGCGTCGGAAACCCGTGGCATCTTTGACAACCCGCTAACTAGATGCAAAGACAGAAAACTGGCATAGCTACATTAAAACTGGAGGAACCGAAGGGGACAGAACCAGATTATTTCTCATGCACCGTGTGATTTTCTGCATTCTGTAAATAAATTCCCAAATACTTTATTACTAAGTTCATGCAGAATAATGCTTCAGGAAATTTTGAGTTTTTAGCTTGTTTATGTTAAATTTATTGTTATAACTCCGGATATCGGAACTTGGAATGTTAGTTTCTCGCAACGGTTTTTCTTCCCGTCGCTCGAGGATGGCCGCAGAAGAGTTGTAACTATAAATTGTAAATTGAGAGGGGACCTACATGATGAGTTAAAGCTACTCTAATATAAAGAGTAGCTTTAAATTGTAAGATCGCGATCATTTCCTCAAAAATATTTGATGGCCTATTCCTCGGGCGAAATTTTTGTTCCCGGAGCGTATTAAAAGAACTCCGAAGTCTCGGACAGAGACGAGACAAATGTGCACTCCGTTCACAATACAAAACTTAAATATACAAGTGTACCTTCTGTAAATTAATTTTAAATCTTAGCACTATTGCTCATGGAACCTTAATACAGTGAAACCGGTCAATTTGGACATCCTACAACCCGAACACTAACATCTTGAATACTTTCACACGGAAGTGGACAAATCACTATACAGTCGACCCCCTATAACGTGATAGATACGTTCCACTTTATAAGAATTTTGCGTTGTAGGATTCCTTAAATACGTGAGCCAATCACAGCCCGTCACGTGTGCAGTTTACGGACTACGACTGTTTGAAAGGTTTTCTTCCATAAAATTAATCGATTCTAGACTAATTTCACTCAACATTTCCAAATTACTTATAATTTTTTGGGAATAATCCGTATAAACTATGCTATAAACGAAAAATTGTAGGATTACTTACAGAGTGTGCACCGTTCAACGACGCCATTACTTAAGCTTGTTTTCGTCGCGGAGCAGCGCAACAAACGGCGGCCGCGTTTTCTGATAAGTTATTTTTCTGTGAAAAATTCGTTGAACTTTGGAGACATCATTAATATAAATAATTTTTATGGCCGTTGAATAAGAAATGTTTTTTTCACAAGAAATGTATAAAATTACAGTACTGTATTAGACTTACAGTACCTAATTTAGGCCTATATACTGTACAGACGCTAGTAAACTCAACTTACCCGCCTAAAATCTCCGTAGCGAAAATTTTAGATAACGTAAAAATTATAAAATTACAGTACTGTATTAGACTTACAAATATAATTTATATATACAAACCTATATTTATATATATAAACCTAATTTATATATAATACTGTACAGATGATAGTAAACTCAACTTGCCCGCCTAAAATCTCCATAGCGTGGCACTGAACGGCGGATAGTAGTTCGGCTGCTCATCCACTATTGCAATGACGTTTTACCGCATTTTACGAGTCTCTTTTAGCGTCCTTATACGAATATGGTCGCAATTTTTTCGCTGCGATATACAAATCCAATTTATTTGAACCCACGTTATAGGGGGTCTACTGTAGAGTACTTCTACATGTATCTGATAATTTTGTATCCTGGACACCTCTCTACCCTGAATTTTGGACAACTTTTTTGTGATTTAAGTTAAAAATAGAGAAATTTCTGAAAATGTTTAACTATCGAGTAATCCGGTTTTAAGGTCTTATGAGTAATTTCCGAACCTACATCAGCCTGTGTTAATTGTATACATATCTTTCTTATCTTTGTCTCCACTCTACAATCACTAACAGGATCATTTTTTCAAGTCTGGGGTGGGTTTGGCTGGACCCGCAATAAGGCGAGGGAAGGGGCCAGACATTTCCAGAATGGACCACACCCTAAATATTCTTGGGTTTGATGGCCTGTCTGGAATCCATCTTGGGTCCTTTGGAGTGGTAAGCCAATGGTGGCGTCTGATCTTCGTGTGACTGTTGCCAACTGATGTTCGGATAAAATCACCAAACACTGGACCAACTGGGCAGGAGCTCACTCCTAACAAATGGGTGTGTGGAGTTTTCTGGTTTGTCTTCACTCGTCTATAAAATAGCCCATATGCAACACGCGTTTGATCTGCCTCTCAGGAGGCAGATCGAACATGTGTTGCATTGCCACATCCTATTAAAGTAACTATGCGACTATTAGTACCACTCAAAGTACAGTATAATGATTTAAGTGTGTTAAAGCTGAAGATGAAGTAAGATTAAATGAATGTGATAGTGATTGTGTTCATGTTTAAAATGCTAATCCCTCTCTTAAATATGCAGCTGTGTGTGTTGTTATTTTTCATTGTAAGAGCTTATTTATATCAGACTCTCTCTCTTGCAGTATTAAAATTCCATGTGGATAACAGTATCTTGAAGCAAATCAATTTTTAGCAAATTGTAATGATTTATCATTTGATGCAGTGCCTTTTAATAAATTCTGATTAAATTCCTGTTAACAAGTGGTGTAATTCTGGCAACTTTTCTTTGCAGTGTCAACTGCCTGTCAGTGCAACTTTTCAATGTTTTTTTTAAAACTGGTGTAAGGGTATCATTTACAAGCATGTCATTCCCTTAACATAATGTATTTGTAAGTGACAAGCATACATTAAATCGACTGATTGCAGAAACATAAAATAATAATAGAAAACCGTGCTTACATGTTTACTAAAGGTTCTGACGCAAGTCTATACAAATAAACTCAAAAATATTTTTTTTAAATTCATTGCTAGGCTTTCCTGCAAAGAAAAGAAAAACAGCAAAGATGAATAAAAACAATTTTTTTTATTAACATAATAATTGGAAATTGGTCAGCATAGATTCAACAAACTTTCTGCCTTGTTACAATATGCTAAGGCATATGGAAAATACATTTAACAAAAAACTATATAAAAATCTAACAAAAATTGGTCTGAATGTATAAAAGTCCTTAAAAAAAAGAAAAGAAATGCATATATATTTAAGAAGTATCAAAGTGTCATTATGTCAAGATATAGAAAATTATAAAAAGGAAAATACTGTGTCGAACTTTTAATGCTGACCAATAACTGTAGATAATGACTAAAGATTTTACATTTAGTACAAACAAAATGATACAAACTGACGTACAAAAAGTGTAAGAAAATAGCAAGAAATTAGTATAGGATATTTTAGGTTATATTTCACGCTAAAGCATCTCTCAAAATACTTTCATTTTGGAGCTTCGATAAGATTCATTTGCATGCAACTTCTTATTATTGGTCCTGTCGACTCGAACTGAATAAACTGCGGTAAAATATATATTTTTTTAATTAAT